TTCCTGCTCTTCAGCTTTGGGGTGAAAGAGCACCAAGTCAGTTATGACTATTGCATATATCTAGAAACCTGCATCCAGATCACTCTCTGAGGTCAGTAAGAGATGGTAGTTAACGCCACCACTAACTCTACTAGTCCACCCTGGGATCTCACAGTTGAGCAGGTTCTTCCTGCCCCTGCTTAAGAAACAGCTGCAGGTCAGAGTACCTTCTCAATTATTCAAACCAACCAGGCTCTGCAGAGATCCCCAAGGACATATTGCTGCTTGCTGTTTTGCTGGCAATGCAGAAACCAGAATAAAACCCAGTTACTTGTCCCAAGTCCTAGCAGACTCAGATTGGGTAACTGCACAAAGCTAGGCCAAAACAGAGCACTACTACAGCCAACAGCTCATCTTGATATGCAGTAGGGGGTATCTACTGATAAAAGTGGAGCAAAAAATGAGGGTGAGGGGAACATTATCAAACATTTTAACTGCTGCACGTTAGGCTCCAATTGTACAGTTAAAACCGCTGCAAAGTTGCTCTGACTCAAGTGGGTTGTTTTGCTCTAATGCAATCTGCAAGATCAGATTGTTTCACTTTCACAAAAAGTTTCCAGATAACCATTAAAAAGAAGCCTTCAAAATTAATCATTTTGATTGTTCCCAATGGAGAGAGGCCCATTCAGTCAAGGTGCCTGTCAGTAACCCTTCTCTTCCTTCCTTCCCCAGCAAGTTTTGGGTATGTTTTACAATTTGTCTGAGGTTGTCCACAGGGGCAGAGGTCTCCCCAGATATTACTTCCCCATAATATTCCATGGGAGAGGCAATTAGGTTAACAGATATGCAAATTAGCATGTTAAAAGAGAGGAGTGAAGTCTCAACTACAACACTGCATAAAATAGAAGAGAGAGAGCAAGCCTGGCTTTTTAAATTCAGCTGCTCACAGAACTATTCATTTTCCTTTAAATTAAACTTTCGATGCAGATAGCTAGTCTTCGGTACAAACTTTCCTCCCCTCCAGAGTAAACCTGCACTTCATCAAGGCAACATTTGCAAGGAGAGGTCATGTACTGCAGTAGACCAATGACACAGTTGGAAAAGGAGAGACCATCTTTCAGGCTTACACACTCAAAGCAAGTCTCTGCCGCGATAAGGCATATTACAGTTGCCTGACGTTTCCCCAAATTGCACTGAAAGTTTCCTAGCTCTCTATCTATAGTTGCATGTTGAAAAGCATGTTTGTGCCTCCATCATCTCTTTTCTTGATTTTTAAATAGCAAATGCCAGTGGCCAGACCCAGCAGGAGAAGCCATCTTAGATTTGAATACTTTTTTAATCCAACACTGAAGAACTTCTGAATCCAAGATTAATAATGAATTTAACAGCAAGGTCCACTTTTTTCTTTCCCCTCCAGTTTACAAGCTTCTCTATCATTAGGGGGAAAAAAGCTGCAACAAATTTTCCCCTAAATAAAGGAACATTTCAGTAGTACAACATATATCATAAGCCTTATGTTTCTGCAGCCATAAATGCCAGGCAATTGGACCTCATTTTCTCCATAAACCTATCCCTCAAATTAAATAGTGTACAGTGGTCACTTCTCTTCCCTGGCTACTGCCACCTTAGGGAATCACAAAGCATGAAGGTGGTGCCACTATTCCACTAGAAACCCCTGGGTTTGCCTCACTTTGCACATTTGAATTGGTCCACTGCACTCAGGCTTGCCCTGGTCCCTGAGCACACATAAGTCACTGCAGTAAGCACCAGTAAATGAAAGTTTAACATCTGCATGATGCAGAGTTCAAAAGGCAAATGAACTCAGGGGGAAGGGGATTACAAGCAGCTAAGAAACATGGTTTAGGGTACACAGCCTCTGTGTAAGTACAGCATTTTACTAATCCATGGAGAATAACAGCTCTGGAGACCAATTAAAACAGTTGCTGGAGCAAGCTGAGGCACCCTATTTTAAGGATACTCTCAGACTCTTCTCTAGTCCCTGATGCGACAGACAACGTGGGACCTGCTGTCCCAAGCCCACTGACCAGTGCATATATGCATAAGACCTGCTGAAAACCCAGAAGGAACACAATTCCCTCCCCATCCCCACTACCCTGCAGGGCACTGTCAGGGATCCCCAACGCAATGAAGCTCCAATAACACACATGAATGTGAAGGCACTTTCATGGCTGAAAAGGTTATACAAAGGACTAAGCACAGTTCTCCCCTACACATTAAGAAGAGAAGATCCAGTACTCTTGGTCCCCTTTTCCTGCCTTTTACCCTACTTAATCTCCCTCACGGGCATCATTCTGTTTGCAGATCCTCCAAGCATCCAGCCCAGCATCACTACATGAAGAGCAAGGAAGCCTCCTCCCTTGTTCAACACATCTGCAGGACAATCTCTGTAGTGACACAGGCAAACAGCGGACAAATCAAAGCAGAATACCCAGGAAAGACGCTTGAAGCCAGAGAAGCTGCACAGGTCTCTGAAGTTTACAGGCACTGTCCACTAGACCAGCAGTCCAGCAGAGCAGGACCTACAGCAGACCCAGCAGAAAACCCAGCTGTGGGTCAGGAGTGCATGGGATACTTTCTAAGGAAGCTTCACACAGAGGGAGTTATCACTGAAAAGCAAGAAGAGAAGTTTCAATCCTGCCCATTAACAGCTGAGGTTCAGTAAGAATACAACCCTGACTACTCTAGAGAGTCTTAGTCCTGGCAAACCTCCAGGTCAGGAAACTGCAGCCTCTCCAAAGCACTCTCCAATGGCTAGAGCTAGAGGAGCCCTCCCTGCTCCTAGCCTACCACGCACAACTGCTTTGAGCTGCTCCTGAGCTCTATGGACACATAGTAGAGAGAGCTGGTGGGTTCTCAGCACAATGGCCCAAAATACATAGGTGGTTGGAATCTGATTCTACAGTAGTTCTACACCAGCAGAACTATCTGTTCTTATGGAGGAGTTCTCAGTTTACACCAGCACAAGTGAGAACGGAGAATTGGAAGGGCATGTCAAATGTTTAGAAGGAAGTGGAGGTTATAGGCCATGTTCAGCCTCACTGAGGAACAAACGCACCCAAACTCTGGCAAGAAGGATGGGGACTGCAAGGGAGGAAAGGCTTCACACCCAAGTGCATAGGGAATGCCTACGGGTGAAATATGGGCTCTTGCAAAATAAAACAGAAAACACAGAGCTCCCCAAAGCAGACCTTGCTAGAAATCAGATATTATCTTCTTGATACTCACTCTCATTAGACAGCAAGCAATAAAACCTATTAGTGAAAAATTCATCTCCCCTGCCCCTTGCCCTGGCCCTCCCCCATCACATGCCCTCCTGCTCTGATCCTCTCTCTCTTCTAGGATGGCTGTGATTTGTTCTGAGAAGGGACAGGTTTATAGGTTAGCCGACACCTTCTCTCTGTGGAATTTTAATTAACTTCTCCCATCGTCAATATGTTAAGGAGCAGGGTTCCCATTATACGAGGTCAGCAGCGTGTTTCAGGCCCTGCTATATCAGCCGTCAAATTGAAGAATTAATGACGTGGCTAATTGGCTCTAATTCTCCACCCCCCCCTCCCCAAAATATGGAGGGGTAAGGAGGGGGAGGTAGGGTAGGCTAGCGGGGGAGGCTGGTACAGTCCACAGTCTCATAAAAAAAAAAAAAGAGAGTGCACAATTTAAACCCACTTGTTCATGGGGTAGCTGTTCCACCACCTCCCATTTATCACCCTGCAGGGAAGAAAGGGGGGGTGGGGAGACTGTGGGTAAATATTATGACAGAGAGTGTGCACAAGCATGCACACCAGGGAGAGGAACACTGTCCTGACAAGAGGCCACCTCAGTAGGTCATCACTTAGGAGTAGGAAGCAGCATGCCACTGGGCTCTCACCAGTCATAGTGCTAGAGCCGGAGCCTGTCTGCTAGAAAAGGAGCCCTTGCTACACAGAAGGCAGCAAAGGGCTTCTGTCTTAACTTCTTCCAGCAGCATTAATGCACATGGCACTTCTTCAAAAATACTATCTGTCTCAAACACTTGGAGCAATGTGACGAGGGAATGGCAAAATCATAGCAGGCCTCGAGGGTCATTTCCCTGACAATGCCATTAGCTCTGTACCACTAAGTTTCTGCTGCTTGCAAAACAAGCTTAGAAATCGAATGAGGACAGCAGTTGTGGGAAGTATTTTGGTTTTGCACAAGCCTAAAATTCACTACTTGCAGATATCACATGGGCAGCAACAACAGCTCTTCTTCCCCCCTTCCTTGAGGAAGGCTGAGGAAGAATTTCTCTTACATGCAGAAGACCAGCTTAACAGTAAACCAAAGAGACAGATTGTTGCTGGTCAGTGTAAGATTTTAACAGCGAGAGTTTAAGTTTCTCAGATTTTTCACCTCCTCAAGAACAGGAGCACTTTGAAAAACACCCTGGAAGATGCTGGTGTAGGTACTGCCCTTGCCTCCCATGCTGAAGTTGTAGTTGTAACATTAAGCCTGCACTAGAAGCACAGGGCTACAGGCAACAGAGGCTGGAAAACCTCATCTCTGAACTCCACTTCCATCTTTCCCAGTTCAGCATGTTCAAAGGAAACCGAGCTCTAACCACTGCACACAGCTCCCAAGCAGGGACCTTTTTGCTTGGGGTATCTTCTGCCAGAGAACGAGAATACAAGTTGGCATCTTTTCAGTACAGAAAGCCTCAAGAGAATGCAGCTCATTGCCTCTAATTAGCAAGTCAGAGAGTTTGCTCTACAAGTAAGAATGAACAGGTCCCACCTGAGACAGTAACAGGAACACAAGGCCATTTTCACAGCCTCTTTATGAGCTAATCACTCCACTGTTATGGGGAACGAAGACTACATGCTCTTCCCTGAGTTCCTGCTGCAGGCACAAGCACCTGATCAGCCTCCACCCAAATTAAGTCCCTGAAATGTCACACTGGTGCCTCAGAGAGATTTGTGGACACACAGCCTATCCAACTCCTTTACTTCTCTGTTGGAAATTGGGAATAAAGAGATCTCAGTTACCTTAATAATGGGCTGATAGCAATGGACCACACTCGATCCTCTGTCTGCACTGTATGTAGACACTGCCCAACTCTGCCCGTGGACAGGGACCAAACCTAAAGAGAGAGATGCACGTTATGCCACATCACCCAGAAGGTGCAGAAGGTAGGACGCACGCTGCTAATGTGCTGGAAAAGCTGCCAAAACTGCCATGCTCACCTTCCCTGAGATCCTCTCCCTGAATTTCCATTACTTATTTTTGAGGAGCAGAGCCTTCAATCACTGGCAGAAACATGCACTTTAAGTTACACAGAGATTCAGCTTATGAGTATGACCTTCCATCCCACTGGTAACAGAGGGAACACCCCCAGATGCTCTCTAGGGCAGCACTCAACACAGACACTTCTCATCTTCTGTAGTTAAATAAACAAGAAGGGGGATTTGTTCAAATCTCTGCCGTTCTCTTGAACAGCATGGGAAGATTTTGTACCATACCTGAAAAATTTCCATTCATATTATCTATAAAATTAATCATTCGCTATCCTGTAAAATAGTTTTTTTTATAGACCCACTCCCTTTCAACGAATTTTCTTAAATGTACCCCAGGCTATTTTCAAATAGGCCCCCCTTGCTCACTGACAATGTGAGAGAATCTCTTCCCTCCCCCATCAGCACATACATGCACATCCTCTTGCACCAGTTCACCACACACACCCCTTTGTTTCTGGGTCCTAATAAAGCCCCCCAGATTCTTGCTGGGGTCTCTGTTTGTGGCCCTCATTTTCTCCACCTTGCCTTCATTCTTGGCCCACAGGACTCGAGCCCCCCAGTTCCCTGTAACCAACTGCAATGTTTCACTTCAAGACTTCAAAGCTGGGAGTGCCCTATTTGTTTGTTTGTTGATAATGCCCAGGATTGCAGGCTATTCTTGTCAGCGGGGAATTTAGCACCTAGTGTCAGCAAAAGAAGCAGAAAAGCTTAACTCTTTTAAGGCATCCCTATCTCCTACAGGTTAAAAATATTGCTCAGAGCACGCTATCTGGTACCTATCACACAGGAATGTACATTAGCAGCTCTTCAGGGCTTAGTCCTAATCAACACTCAGCAGAGCCCCCAATAGCTTAGACACTTAGAGCCCCTTTAAAAGGCTGGTAGGGATTCCCTTCCACCCTCCAAGAGTCTCATTCACACAAACAAGGCAGACTGCAAAAGAGATGATAAAAAATAAGAGATGAACATCCCTAGAGCCTATGCTGTGGGGACCACTGGGTGGGCAAGATCTCACACTAGCTCCAAGAAAAACAGCCTTAAATTCCCCTCTGGCCTTTAGGAATTTGTTCTCAAGGTCGGGGAGGTCTGTCCTCTGGCTGCCAGGGAAGCAGCAAGAAGGTGTTCTAGCAAAGAGGCTCCACAGAACAGAGAGAAGCAGCCCTGCTTAAGTGTGAGACAAAGCAGCATTAAGGCCTCATTTCCAGGAGACAACAAGCATCGCCAACAGTGCCCTTTGCATCTGAGCACTGCTCTACTTGGGAGTGATTTTACCCAGGAGTACACCCATACAGAGGGACCAATGAGAATAGACACGGTCATGCTGCTCAGCAGCCTGTCAGATAGTTACCCATTACCACACACTTCCTACAAAACTTTGAAAGAGACATTTAAGTCTTCCTTTGCCCCAGCTTCCCCTCTTGCAAAACAGGAAGAGCAGTTTTTCCTCTTACGCCCATTAATGCTCTACTATACGTACCAGAGACCAAGAGTATCCATCAGCCCACCCTGAGTAACAGCCAAAGCTTTCAACATATAGCAAGCACTTCCAACAATGAAACAAGTGGTTATGAAGATGCTAGGAGGTACTGCATCATGCTAGCAGGACAAGGTTAAACACCTGTGTGGAGTTTTCTAAACTACTAAAACAGAGCTGGTTACAGCTCAGGAGAACAACTCTCCAGGTCCATGTAGGAACAAAGCACTGCCAGCCAGATCCAGAAGGACAGAAATCAACCAGGTCCTCCCTCAAAAAGAAATAGCCAAAAATTACATGACAGGATTCAGTGATGCCAACTGGAAGAGAAAAATGGGAGCTAACAGTATTCATAGTCTAACTTCACTCCTGGTTTCCAAACCAAGAACCATACAAAATTACAAGAAAAAAACAACAAAAAAACTACAACAAAACACACACACAAAAAACAAACAAACAAAAACCCCAAAAACACAAACCACAAATAAATAAACCACAACCCCACAGATTTGGAAAAGACATCATGCTATCCCTTAAAGAGACTGAATATACAACAGAGAGTATGTGAAGCAGCACTGCATCACAAAGCAAGGATACGCTTGAGATACATACGGCAAATTTCAGACTAACTGGCATGGATCACTGCTACAGTGTTAAACACATGTACAGTGAAAGCAGCAAAACATCAGCTGCTGCCTTCTGTACTTCCTAGTTTAAACCAGTAGTTGATGTTGTAAAGTACTGCCAAATCTCTGTCTTGAAAATTTGGCACAGTAAGCATCTTTTCAGAGACATGAGCCTACTCCAAGATACCCAGCACTCCTCCTGCAGACACACAAGACAGGGCTCACAACAGTGCTGCTGACACTTAAACATTTATGGCACAAGACCTCCCAGGTCACCTCTGCAGCAGCACCTGCTGGAACATCACTGCTCACCTTCGCTGTTCTGTCCCGGGAGCCGCTGACAATGAGGCCACCTTGGAAGTCCACGCAGTTCACCTCCTGTTCATGCGCAGAGAACTTGACACTGTAGGAGCCATGGATCTTGTGAAGGACAATATTTCCATCTCTGAAAAACAAATCCCCAGGCAGGGAGTCTGTATCAGCTGCATCTCCCTTGGACATGCACCTTCCATTAGTGCTTAGGAGTGCCACAAAAAGACCAGGACTGATCTCTCATGGAAGCTGAAATTCATGCCTCCACTCCTCACACATCACCTGTTCTCTTGCAATCCCACATCTGGTCAGTCAAAGCCTGATCTGCCACACATGAAAATTTTCCTGGCTATCTTTCCACCCTCCACTTTGTGTTAAGCTGCAGAAACTAGCAGAGCAGCCATTCCTCCTCCTACTGCTTTGAGCTTGCCAGAATCCTGGCTGGATGCTGAATGGCTGGAGTAAGGGAACAAGTGAGAGGTCATTCTCACCCATGCCCAAGCCTCAGCTTTTCATTCATTTCAGAGCAGCCGTGCAGGGTATTGTGCTTTGAATTAACTACAAAGACATTTAGACTTTTTTCAGCCAATGCAGTTACTGGAATTTTAAATGCACGCCTTCATTTTCACCTGAGTTTTGGGCTACAGTTCACAGGGGAGAGTCTCAAGATATCCAGAGCAGCCAGCCATGCTTGCGTCTCCCAATTCTGTGCTTAAGTGCTGTGTATATTAATAGCTAAAACTTTATAAATAACAGTTCTGTTATTTGCTGTAATTGAAAAAGGTCAGTCAAATGCAAAATTAATTGGAGAAGTATGTGTGTGCTGGAATGCTTGGCAGTTTTCCCCTTCTCCACAATTATATCAGTAGGTCTAATAAACATATAATTGTCTCTAGAAAGCTTTATGCACTACTGCGGTCCCAGTTAACCAGCAGTTCTGAATATTAGAACACAGTCTAGCTAACCTGACCATAACAGGGAAAGAAATGAAAAATCACACATCAGTCAGGATTACCTGATCAGTCAGCCCTGATTCACTAATCCTGTGGACGTCTACACAAGTTCAAAAGAGAAAAGGACACTTTGTAAGGTCAACAGCATAAGACTCAGCTCCTCCACTGCTGTAGTAAAAGCTTTTTCAGGACAGAACCAAATCATAAGAGAGGAAGCAGCAGCAGTTGAACACAGCCAAGCATGAGGACACTGTGTAGCAAGATTGACCCCTTTGCTCTGGGCTGGAGTTACACAAAACCTTTCCAACTTCACTGCCACACTCCTCGGGCTCCTTCATTCACCCAACTTACCCCCCTCCACTGACGATGTGGGAGTTGACAAGAACAAAGCGACATACGTCCTCCTGGTGGCCGGAGAAGATAGCTTGAGGGTGACGCTGCAAACCCGTACCATCTGGACAGAGCTGGTAGGCCTGGATGTTCTCCGCTTGAGACAGATAGAGATACTCACCATCTAGCTCCATCCAGGGCATCAAACTGCAAACAGACAGCAGGTTGGGTGGGTGCAAGAGTGGGGAGAAGAAAACAAAACGAAAAACCTCACACACAAGAAGAAAAAAAAAATATGCATATATAAACATATCAACAAAAGCAAATGCCCACTCAAGAAAACTGTGAAGTTGGAGCTGCTGGTCACATGCAAAAGCAGGCCTTAATATAGTAGCACAGCTAAGAAGTGAAGCTTCTCCAGCAACAAAGCAGATCACATTGATGGCATTTTTCTAACCAAGAGCTGAGGAAAAGGAAGAATGGAATCTCTGAAAGAGAAGATGGCCAAGAGTCTAGTGAGTTTAGATAGGAAATACTTAAGGCTCCCTGACCCCTCTTCATGAGTCCTCTACTTTTTAAGAAACTAGACTATCAGGCATTTGTGAGCTATGCCAAGCATTTCTAACAGAGCCTTTAATACGAGGCTCTTGGTGCAAACAGTCAGTCTTGATCCTGCACATTATTTGCTGATGCCCAGCAGAGACCACAAAGCTGCCACTGTTTCACATGCATCTGAGCAGGGGAGCAGGTCACATCAAATAACACAGGTCTTCCTACAGACAGAAAGTCCTCCACCTCCTACATTCTCTGGATGCTGATACATAAAGCAGCAAGGTAAGCCTGATGCTGTCCAAGAACTTTGTACTCATCTTGTAGAGGAGGTATTTTTCTACGTTCGCATCACTTCCACTACTGAGCCAAAAGCAACTGCAGAGCAAACTCTTGATTCCTGTTGCTAGTCTTTCAGAAGAGCCCATACACCCTTTCTGCCCCTTGCTATCTACAGGACAGTGGCAGGTTCCTATGGACAGGTTCCAGGTCAAGAGCAGTGGACTGCTAAAGGAACTGTTCTGAAGTGCTTCGAAGATTAAAGTTCTAAGTGGAAAATATACTTCACTTCCTGGGAGACCAAGAAGAGAAGGAGACACTCAAGCAATGTCTGAATCATGTCTGTCATCACAAGAAGTTTCTTTATTCTTGAAACAAAACCAAAATACAGAAAACAAAACAGGCTACAACATACACTTAGGCAGTGAGCTCTCTGCTCAAGATCTTGCTCTTGTGTAGTGACCAGAGAATCAAATAGCAAATGGGCCTTCTGGATATGGCAAGGCCAGATACAAAGAGACATGGGGCTTGTGTCCTACGGGGCATGGATGCATGAAATTGTCTCCACTCTGCAGTCATTGCCGAGTGCACCAATACCCATGCAAACATTGAGCAAAACTAGAGCCCTTCCATAGAGCAGCCTTTCAGTTTTCAAACTATTCAGGAACAAACTGTTTTGAAAGCAGGGGGGTTTCTCATAAAAAACTGTCTCCCTCTTTTTTGCAGATCATTCATCCTCAGGTCATGATTTGCTGTGTCAGCAGAGCCATTACACACAACCACACCTCATAACATCACAATAAGGAACTGGAAACAAGTAAAGAGGACAAGATTGCTTATTAGATAGAAGGTTTCTGCTTGCCTGCATTCATCTCCAAAAACAGGCTTTTAGTCACATGGACAAAGCAGTTGAGCATAGGTTATAGTGTTCTTCTGGGACTTGATCATATGCAAGGAAAAAATAAGAGCCATCTTTGGAGCAGCAGCTTTGGTTTTAGGCGGGCTTTGATTTCCCCTTCCTTCCTCCACTCCTACACAGTTCTCTAAAAGCAAGTGAATATCCAGCTTACCTAGACTACAGCCAGTTTCTGTGGCTCTCCTCCTCCTGCAGTTTAGCTTTTACCTTTTTCTATGGCTTTTTCATAAGGAGAAGTAACAAATTTGAAGCAGGATAAATGAAAATTAGAGGATGCTGTTTGGATGGTGGCCTCATTAAATCAGTCCTTGCCTTTTCACTTGAGAAGCTGGTTTAGTAATGATCTCTAACATGCACAGAGCCTGTCTTCACAGATGGTTGCAAGCACTTCAAAGGCAGGTATACAACCTGCACCAAAAACCACTCTGCTCATTACAGCTGTTCCCAGGACTTTACACAAGCAGTGGCACATTATCCACCACTTCAATCTACACAGCACAAAAAGGCATGAAAGCTCAGTAGTAGGTCCCTGTTCTTCAGCAGCTAACAAGCCATAGTCTTTCTCTTTTTTCCTTCTGTCCAGTGATGTGAAGGCTGAAAATTTAGATGTGCTGTTCAGACAAGAGACCTATCTTATGCTTTGCTTTGAAAGCTAAGTACACCTTTGCAAGGCAGAATTTAAAAACAATCTCCTCTCATTAATGTCAAATATACATATGTTTTTTTAGTGAAGGAGAAAATCATAAGGTAGGAGAATGAAGAAGCATAAGGTAGAAGAATGTCAACTAGCATTTTAGATTTGTACATCCAAATCAGGGGCCAGGATAAAGCACGAGAGGCAAACCAAGCATTTTGAGGGGACACAGAATTCCACATCTGGGATCAAGGTATGCTCGTTGTGAGAGCAGGACAGAAAATTGCTCATTGTATACAGCAATAGATAGGAACATAACAGTTTGAAGTCAGTAGTAAAGATTACTAAATCCAACTAGAACTGCACGGATCAGAACAATGACAAATTCAAGCTCTAAGAAAGGAACTCTAGACTCTCAGTGTGAACCCCTAGGGCAAGATAGCAACTCCAGTTACCCTACATCCAGCTAGCCAACAACACCCAAAACAGACCAGTGACATCACTTGTAAGAGCCTGTGGATCACAAGGAGCAGGAAACATCTCATTTCAGGGCACAGACACAAACCCAAGGCCCCACAGCAGCTGACACAGAACAAAATAGAAGAGAAAGGAGCCACTTGCTTGCGTTTCCATTTCAGGACTGTCTCCCTCCGGCAGCGTCCATGCCTCCAGTTCTGAGATACTTTCACCCTTTCCTTCACTGGAATGCCAGCTGCTCTGCAGACAGAGGAAGACAGATGAGATTAGCAACCAGGACTGATGGTATACAGACAACAAATACACTCAAGCTGGTCACAGGTATGCTCTCACTCTGGTTCTACAAAAGATGAACTGGCAAACACTGATCGTGCCTGAGCCACACTAGAACAGGCACACCTGCGAGAGTTGACAAGAAAGGAACACTGAGCGGTGTGGGTGCTTATCGTCAGAGAAAGCCATCCCTGATGATCACTAACGTACAAGCCTTAAATCTCATCAAGACCTGATTTAGAATACTGAATGCAACATGCGTTCAGACAAAACATAATCAAAACAAGATGACATGGCAAGAAACTACCAGAACAACCAGAGAAACAGGACATCACTCTTCTAATAGAGACTAAAGAAAGCCAGTTAAGATAAGGACAACACCATACAAGGACAGATGGAAGAAACACTAGTCAGGAGAATGCTGAAACTAGAAGCCAGAAGAGTGTGTCTTGCCAGAAGACTAGTAAAGAAACTGCTCCAGACCCTCACCTGCCTGACAAACACATAATCAGATACAGTAATTAGAAATCAAGATACATTCAAACTAAAAATAAAATTCATTCATCTGTATAACCACGCAATGCACACATGCCCCAAGACAGACTCTTCTGCAGCACCTCACCAAAGGATAGAGAATTCCACCACATCACTGGAAAATTCTCTACTTTCAGTCAAAGTTACTAAAAGAGAGACTGTAGTTCGTAAGCAACTTCTGGGACACAAATCAAAGTTATTGGGATGAGCTGAGACAAGCCAAGATCAACACAGCTCAAGAGGTGACAAAAGGTAGGTACCACAGAGACCTGGGACCAAGGTCTCCTTAGAGTCTACATGAACATACCCAGTTCAAGCAGCTGTTCAACATTTGTTTTGCTTTCATGATCCAGGGTTTATTAAAGAGGGGGCAAAAAGGGAGCTTTAGCTGCTATCTTTCTCATATCATAAACTTAATTATCCTTGGTGGAGCTGCTTAGGTAGAAAAGATCAGAAAAGTACAAAGAAGAAGAAACTGGAAGTTATCCTTTGTAACTAGGGGCTGTGAACCACTTACTAGATTAAAAGAGTTTATCCCCCTTTCATGCATTTCTCAACAGCCAGTGTTCCCAGATGCATAGGACAAAGGAAAGATCCTTAAGAGATGGGGACTGGTGCCGGACCAGAACCAGTTCCCTCCTCCCATCCTTACCGTGCCCCCAACCCACTCCTCAGAAGTGGGATTTTTGGGTACTCCGTCATTTTTAAAACAAAGATTAGGTCCCTGTAAATAAACATCTCCTGTGGTTGTTAATGGGTGTAGGAATCTCTAACCTGGCCCTGGGGCCTGGCCAGATTCTCATTTTCCCAGCCTTCCTTCCATAGCCTCAGGCTCCTTTTTTTTCTGCTCACCCTTCCCTCCCCTTTTCTATGCTTTCCGGCACTTAGTCACCATTATAATTTGACTGCATTCCTAGGCATGTGACCCATTTTAAACAAAAACAGAAACCACACACAGAAAAGCTTTTTGTCCCCTAAAAAGCTTGCAACTGTAAGTTTATGATCAGTAGAGCTACACCAAATAAAACTGAATTTAGGAAGCTATGAGCTCTTTCTTTCTCCTAACCCTTTTAAAAAAATAAAATAATAAAACTGTAGAGTTAGCCTAGGCTGCAAGAATAGGAATTCCTTTTTTAAAGAGCACACTTGCAGGAGCTTGTGGGGCCAGATAGCGTCTGAGATGTGGAATGCACAGCACTGAAAAGTCAGGTCATGTCCAGCAGCCTCCTCATTGCTTATTACTCTCCCAGACAGAGTTCAGGCTCTCCGCCTACATCCAATTCCATTCATTACTCCAAAACACTTCTCCTCCCCACACTCAACCCTCAGTTAAGTTCTCCCCACGTACAGATTTTAAGTCACCAGCTTGCACAGTGATGGAAAACGCACTCATGCCACAACCCCCTCCCAACACATACTGGCCGAACCAGACATCCTGAGCAAAATGCACAAACCCTACTAAGACTAGATGTGATTTCCAAGGCTCTGAAAAAAGGTGAATCCAAGGTCAAAAAAGCAGCCTCCATCTTGCACTGCTGGTCACTTTTCTAGTTGGGGGGCAGGCCTTGATCCTCCTGCTGCTGAAAGGGGAATTTCAGAAGATAGTCACACATTGGCTTGTCCCACAGTACCAGTTAACTATTGCAGTTACTCCTGTAACAGACACCTCATTCCTTCATGCAAATCAACAGTTCCTGTCTGGAAGGTGTGGGGGTTGGGTGGGGAGGACTATGTGGGGGAGGTCTGATGGGGTTTTGGGGAGTTTTGTTTGTCTTTTTGTTTGTTTTACTGTACAGATACATTATTCATCCAGCCTGCCTCCTTCATATAGCAATTCTGGATCCAAGCTAATTTAAACATGTCTTAGAAGCATCCGCCTTTTATTTCCCAAACATATTATTTATTCAAAATAGAGGCAAGAAAGGGGACAGAACATATAGAGGCCATGAGAAAGGGGATGTAGAAATTGGACTGATATCCTTCCCCTTTGCCAGTACCAGGGCAGCAGAGGCCAAACTGCAATGATTTTCAAGTGTTGGTCAGAGACATCTGATGCCCTATAACAGAAGAGAAGTTAAATCAAGCTCAGCAATGGAATCAAGTGCTGAGATATAATTTGATTTGCTTCCTCAACAGTACCCCCCAGAGTAACTCCAAGAATACATCAAAAAAAGGTGATAAGCATCACTGCAATACACAAGAGTTCTCAAATCTCAGAAAGTTAAAAAGGGCATCACCACATAAACTTAATCATTTGATTAAAAAAATCCCTTTCTCCCCTACAAAGACCATTTTGCTTCAATCACAATCAACACACTTTCTATACATGCAAACCTTTAAGAATTGTTCCATGATGACCTGAGACAATCAACACACATCACACATCTACACTGAGTGGTTGACTTAACCAAGTACCTCCCACTTCAGCAACTGGATTGAACATTCAAAGATTCAGGAGACTAACCCTCTTTATGAAGACAAATGCTATGTAAAATGCCGTGGAGGGACCACTATCCACCAGCCAATGAATACTTTGACCTTTCTTAGTATGCAATCCAGCAAAACGCTAAGCCACATGCTTAAAATTCAGTACATGCTTAAGTGCTCTGTGAAATCAAGATCTTGGCATTCACGTTCTCAGAGAAGCCACCCAACAGTGAACTTCAAGACTGCTGAAGGCTGACTCAATGAGGAAGGACTGCTATTTATACCAGGACCTACACAGCCTTGCATCAGAAAGCAACAGAAATATTGCCGAACATCCTAGAAAGGATGACAAGAAACACAGGAGGAAGGAACCAGTGAACAGTGAATGTGAAAACTCAATGAAATTCAAGCAAAATATTCTTAAAGCCCATCAGAGTCCATCATTTCACCACCTCTGCTAGGGCGTCACAATTATCAACAGTTCATAAAGTTACACGATCCAGAACATGCAAGGCTATCTTTCTTATTAGGTAATTAATAAAAAAAAAAACACTCTATCAGGATTCCAAAGCATGTGGTGCAATAAATGACCTGAGCTAATGCGTGTTTCTGATTGCACACACTCCTGATGGAAGCTCCCTTTACAAAGGCTTTATTACACTAAGAAAGAGAAGCTGAATATTTCTTACAGCCTGAGAGAGTTCCAGGATAAAAGCCATCCCAAGCAACCCATTATAAAGGATTTTTCATTTCCCCCTTCCTACCTCACCCCACCCTACCAAAAAAGTTAAGTATTTTGCTCAAATTATGGATTTCCTCTCTTTCTTGGCAGAGTTACCAAAAGAAACATAATATTCCTTCTGGAGCCCACTTTCCAGCTGCTGAAGTGAGAGACTGGGACTATCCCCCCACAGCACCACTGACCCAGGTGACCTCAGCCATCATGGCAGTTGCTGGCCTGGGCCCCAAAAGAAAGCAACAAAAGAAAGAATCGCTCAGACAGAGACTAAGCACATCTCCCAAAGCTTCACCTCCAACAGTTTTTGCCTTCAACAATCCTCTCCCCAGCCAAAGTTCTTTGCCACCAGAAATGGTATTTCTGCAACAGCTAGAGCTTCTGTGCTTTACTGCATCCCAGGGAGATTTCTACTGGCCATCTACAATTTCAGCATGTGCCAAAACAATGGTGCCTGCAACAACATATACCACGTTACAGAAGATAACACCAACATGTCATACTGTATATTTTCCCAGCTGCATGGGGCATCCTAATCCACCAAAGTCCTTCACATTTTGCTACATTTTAAGTGCTGAAGAGCTCATCTGGAAATGCAAGTCTGCAGAGACCTGCTGAGACCGAATCTCTTCTGTGGACAAAATCTGCTGTCTGCATAAAAGCTGTCACCAGCCTGCCTCAGGCCTGACTGGAAGGGTCATACAGAGGAACAAATAGGTCACAGTGCCTAAGCCCCACTTTCAACCTTGGCCCTGTGACAGGGATGGCTAACACAAGGACCAACTGCACTTATTTGTGTAATCGGGACACACCTGTTGAGTGGCAGGGTCTCAGTGCAGTTACAAGTCACGGGCCACCAACAGACAGCCGAGAGGGAAAAGCTATTTATGTCAGGAGCTCCTGTTGCTGTCCTCAACAAGTCAGCCGGCTTTCAAAACGTCTCTTCCAGGACAAGAATTCCACCTGAATTCCTTTAGCATATGACGCTTATTTAGCTTACTGCCAGGTTCAGTCTGTCTTCTACGCTCCCCCCCTTTCTATTTGACATGGGTTCACATAACTCTGAGATGGAATAGAGCTCTGCAGACTCTTCTCTCGCTGTTCCTCATCTCCTCTGGTGTGTCTACGCTCAGTTAGATGTTACCAGGCTGCACAGGTTTACTGCTCTGTCTCACAGCTCTTGTGAGCAATTCACCTGCACATAGAAGCCAAAGACTCCAATAAGAAAGAACCAGAGCTGCAGGCAAATTTCCATACACGCAATAAAGAC